TGAAACGGGTTTTCTAGTTTTTCCAATAAAAACTACTGCCAAAGTGTATCAAAAAATTGTTAAAAACTGAAAATCCAACTACAAAAGAATAAAAATCGTGCTAATGCTAATTTTTGCGCTTCTCATTTTCTTGCCGCAAATTCCTCCTGTTGTAAGTGATAATTTGCCCACATCGGCTGCCGGCTGTCAGGTTTGTGATTTTATGTTTTTTTAAGCAAGTCTAGAATGCATAATATGTTTTATTTATGCCCCTCTATAGAAAAAAAGCACTTCTCTTGCAAACGGAGCCCTTCCGTTCATAATTACGGATCTGGAGGAACCGAACCACTCATCTTTCCGTCCGGACGCGACATGCCAAACCACTGCACCATCAACATTCTTGTCCACTGAACATATTTCAACTTGTATGAGAAAGTAAGTGCCAGCTTTTCGAGAAAATTCCGCGAAAACCGCTCGATCGGTGAAGCTCCTCATCGTGGCCAGGGCATGACAGTGTTCGAGACAAGTTGATGATGTCTAATACGCAACAAAAAAAATCCTGATATGCCTACAGTTTTGTCATGTGCTTCCAGAGGGAAAACGGTTGGGCTGTAAATTCCTTCAAGGGACGAAACTGACGCCAGGATCGCCAGTAGACTGACCACCACAAAACGCAGTTTTGGCTAAAGCAACCGGAAAAGCAAATAGTCAAGCAAGCGAAAAGTTATAAAAAACCAAATAACAAACAAATCAATGTAATTCAGCGAAATTTACCGCCCCTTTCAATAGTGCATATTCGAACAATAACAACAACAACAGTCCTCTCCCCCCCACCCCCCTTTCCTTCACTCCGCATCATGAACAACAATCGTTACTTCTCTCGATACTGCATCGTTATAGTGCGCCGATGATCATACGAGTCAATTCACGTGGGGTGTGGAAGTAGAAGACGACGAAGAAGAAAATGATGATCATGATAACGACGAACAAATTCTTTATCGTGAATATCGATTTGAAGGCGATATTGGTTCGTCATTTGCTTATTATTTGCATTCTTAATAAATACCAGAGGGGCCGAGAATGTCCGGACAATCGTATGAAAATCCTATGTTAGTGACGTTACTGCAACTAGAAAGAAGATGGGCTTATTAGCAAAAGAGGTAATACATTAGCTGAATGAAACAGTAACAAGGGGGAAAGGAAATAATGCTGGGTGGAGAAAAGGGCGTCCCATTTTCACCGCCTAACAACCGCAGTATCGTTTATTAGCAAATAACAAAGCATTTAACCAGGCAAATAATGCGTTTTGTTTTCACTTCTCATTTGTCTCGGAAAATACAGTTATTTTACAGTACTCACCAACAACTCGAACGCGGTCGACTGTAGCACTACCGTAACCTGGGGTAATAGCAGCACACAAATTGAATATGGTAAAAACGATGAAGCCCAAACTGTAGCTGCTAAAATACAGCATAATTCAGTGCGGCAAAAAACACTGCTATGGCCAGGTGGTCGGATACCGTATACGATTTCACCGTCTTACAGTGAATCCAGGTATTACTGTATATTGTTCCCACAGTACACTATCATTACAGTATATTGCTAAAGCTCAAGTCTATTGCCATTTTTGCAGTCGATCAATTATCCAAGAAGCGTTTGAGGAATATATGCGCCAGACATGCATTCGTTTTATCCCAAAGCAGCTACTGGATTTAGATTTCATTGATATTATACCAGATGATGGTTGCTATTCAATGGTTGGCAATAATGGTAATATTTTGATGCTAATTTACTTATTAAATTTAATCAGAATTATAAATACTATTTAAACAGTAAGTGACAGGTAACTGTGAAGTATACTTGGAAATGTTAAAGATTTCAAAACACACAAAGTATTGATAGTTTAGCTGAGATTAATACATTTCGGCCCATTAAAATGCATTTTTTAACGTCATAACTGAAACTTGTCAGCACAAATTAATTTTTTAAGCGTTAATATTAGGCTTTCGCACAATAATGCAGCATTTACAATCAGACCCTCTGTCAGATGAGCGACAAATGTCACTGCGAGCATGGGCAGAGCATGTTACTCACCTTGCTAACAACCAGTGGACGCCGCGTATTATTGTCCACTTAAAGTCGTCTTATTAATCGTCAGTTGTGCATTTGACTTTAAATTTTTTAGGTGGCAGACAAGCAGTTAGTTTGGGCGACGGCTGTTTAAGGAAAGGCATTGCAATACATGAATTAATGCATGTTCTCGGATTCTTTCATGAACAAAGTAAGTTCAACTTTTTTCAGATAAATTATCTGGTACCATTTGCTTCAGGAGATGAACATTTTGCTCCGGTCATCTTCAGTTTTTTTGGAAAGTTACTCCAGCACATGGCGCTTCAGTACTCCAGCGCACGAAATTTTAGCATTTCAGTACACGGCGCTGAATTATGATTTGTACCCATTTATATGTATGAATTATGCAGAAACGGATAGAAATTGTTGAGATTTCAGGTCGTGCAGATCGTGATTCTTACGTTGATATTCACTGGGAAAACGTGGATCCGACACTCGTTGGTGAGACTGTTAGCTTCTTTTAATTCTGGTCAGTCAATCTTAATTGAAAATGCATACCTTAACATCCACAGGTGTCAGGAAAATGAGCGAGGTGAAGGAAGAAGGTGACGATGAGCGGGGAAACAGGCTGAATGTTTTGATTTATGAAGTTGTGAAAGTTTTAGACGGCCGTATGGAATTGTGTAGATGAGAAAGGTTCAAAATAGAGAAGTTACCTGTTGCATCAGTGGCGAAAGAAACGTAACACTGAAATAGCTACTGATCAAAACATTAGAGTATTTGTTTGCATGCTTGCTTTCGTATTTGTTTTGCATGATTCACTTAATTGTTTAACTATTTGTCTGCCAATTCTTTTGCCTATCTT